TACACAAGATTATATCAGAAGGACAGGTATCCCAACACTTTTGGGAATCTGCTTCTAATATTTATAAAAGAGAAGGAAACAATAGAAATTTTCTAGAGGTTGAGTTACAATTTTGTCACAGAAAGGACATGGGCCATGTGCTGGGCTTTAATTAGGTATCCGAACAAACAACTGTCTCGAAGCCAGCTTCCGCCATCAGTTTGGTGTCCTCTCACTCTTTACTTTACATCCACCCACATTCTCTTGAGGAAATACCATTTGACAGGTGACACATAGCTAGGTTTGCAGCTCTATTTCTGTGATTGCTTTTTGGAACTGTCCCAGTAGAGAAAATTGCTGTGATGTGTAATGTTTTACCACTGCTTCATATAATACATTACTTCTTGCAATCAACCTTTGAGACAGTTTGCATGAAGAACCAAAATGGCAAAACAGTAACCACATGTAGTCTAGACCATCATTGCGTGTTTATGAAGCAGATAGCCAGCCTGAATGGGAAATCACTGGAAATGTCCTGTAAGCAAGAGCTTAATAAAAAGTCTTCCTAGTTCAGCAATATAGTGTGCAACTAGGGGTTCAGGGAATGCGTCATTGAAAGCTAAGCATGGATGTGTGTGTCCCCTAGGATGCCCTTCAGCCTGTGGTGAGCACAGAAAGCCAGATGTATCAAAGCTCAGGCTTCACCTGCCTCCTGTACTGATCCTTGTTAATAGTGTAGTTTGCTTTGAATGACACGTTAATGGTGGAATCCTAAGCACAAATACTTTTAAAAGTTCTTAAAAGTTCATTGACTTGAATAGCATTAGAAGGGTGTAATTCTGTTTAGATAAGATTGTAGTGTAAAACATCTGACTTAGATCACCTGATATTTCGCTGTCCCCACTGGACTCAAGTTAGAGGCACCTATATCTGTCCCTTCTGGCAGTTCTCTATCCATGTACTGTTGAAGCCTAGCTTGTAGGATCTTGAGCATGACCTTGCTAGCGTGTGATATGAGTGCAATTGTGCGATAGTTTGAACATTCCTTGGCATTGCCCTTCTTTGGGATTGGAATGTATACTGATCTTTTCCAATCCTGTGGCCACTGTTGCGTTTTCCAAATTTGCTGGCAAATTGCGTGCAGCACTTTAACAGCATCATCTTCTAAGACTTTGAATAGTTCAGCTGGAATACCATCACCTCCACTAGCTTTGTTGTTAGTAATGCTTTCTAAGGCCCATTTAACTTCACATTCCAGGATGTCTGGCTCAAGGTCAGTGATTATACCGTCGTGTTTGTCAAGGACATTGAGGTCTTTCTTGTATAGTTCTTCTGTGTATTCTTGCCATCTTTTCCTAATCTCTTCTGCTTCTGTTAGGTCCCTACCGTTTTTGTCCTTTATCATGGCCAGCTTTGCATGGAACGCTCCCTTGATTTCTCCAATTTTCTTGAAGAGATCTCTAGTCCTTCCCATTCTATTGTTTTCTTCTATTACTTTGAACTGTTCATTCAGGAAGGCCTCCTTATCTCTCCTTGATGTTCTCTGGAAAACTGGAAATAGCATTAGAAGGGTGTAATTCTGTTTAGGTAAGATTGTAGTGTAAAACATCTGAACGTTTGGATTGTGAACTTTGAGAATGGTAATATACTAATGTTGCAAAAGCAAGAGGTGTCCAGATGATATTCCCTGGGTTTACCAGTGACTTTAACGCAATAAAGTGCTTTATCGTTCATCGTGGTTACTGTGGCGTATTTAGAAGAGGGTGAGGAACATGGCAGTGTGATTTTGCGTATGTATCATTCAGGATTTTAGGACATACTTTTTGAGTACTGCCTTAAAATGTAAGGCTTTTTGTCTATGTGTATATTTAGTCAGAGTTCCAAAATGCTAAAATTACACCATTTGTTTATGCTACTGTAGCCCCAGATACCTGCAAAACATAGCATGTTAAAAGAATGTAGCATTACCCCATTGTTGACTCAGTGACAGACACTAAGACCACTGGCCTTTTGAATGTATTGCCAGTGTGCTAGTTGCAGCTGTTATTGAACAGCTGGTAGGTAAACTATGAAATAATTAGAAAAAATGTTTTAGTCAAGCACACACCCTAATTTGGAAGCAATTTTTTCACTACAAATATTCTGTAAGAATTTATCTAGCAGACTATAAAGAATCTTAAAGAGTTCAGTTAGAAATTACTTTTTCCTTTAATGTCAGTTTGCACTGCACATTTCACATTGTATGAGAGCACTCCGAGAGAAACATTTTGTAACTGTGGCTGCTTCCATATGGAGGTTTTCCTCTGGCACTTTAAAAAATAAATAAATAAAATGATTCAGCTGTTATTGAACAGCTGGTAGGTAAACTATGAAATAATTAGAAAAAATGTTTTAGTCAAGCACACACCCTAATTTGGAAGCAATTTTTTCACTACAAATATTCTGTAAGAATTTATCTAGCAGACTATAAAGAATCTTAAAGAGTTCAGTTAGAAATTACTTTTTCCTTTAATGTCAGTTTGCACTGCACATTTCACATTGTATGAGAACGCTACAAGAGAAACATCTTGAATATTTTGTAACTGTGGCTGTTTCCATATGGAGGTTTTCCTCTGCCACTTAAAATAAATAAATAAATAAAATGATATACTCCTCTAATTGTCATCTTTTCAAGGTTTTCCCATTCCCAGTGTTTTATTTCTCAAATCTGCTCTACCCTGGGGTTTTTTTTAATGCAATCCAAGCACATCAGCACATTATTAAGGAAGGACTTCCTGCTACAAAGATCCTGCCCTATTTGTTTTACCACTGCAGGGCTTTTTGTGGGCTTATTTTTCTTTTTAGTCAGCAATTCCTATAGCCCTATAATGATCTACTGACACCTATCTATTTCCATTTCAAATTTTTTGTCCTCTGAATCCCCAGAACTTGCTGTTCAAAAATGACATTTCTTGGCGTTTTCATTGTTATGATATAAGGGGAAAGGCACAGGCAGTTTTTGTACCAATTGCATGGACAGGAATGGAGAGGGAAAGCTGCTAGGTGGCTAGAGGGATACTATTTGTATGCCAGAACTGCTAGTGCACGGCAATGATTGATGCTCCTTACCTTTTCTAAATTATAATAGAACCCTTATAGAACTTGAGTGCATACATGAAAAAAACAAAAACAAAAAAGGTTGACAAATTGTTGCAGCAGCTGTGACAACCATGCCCCAGAGAGGCAGTGCATACTTGCTGCAGACCATGTGTGGAAGTCAGGGAAAAGGCAGAGAAAAGTTTGCAGAAAGCTCCCACATATGGAAGCTCCATTGCCAACGTGCATATGCCAAGAATCCTTGCCCTGTAAGCTGCCTAGGATAGTTATAACATTTCTGAATAGATCTGACCCCAAGTTAGAGTTAACAACATTTCTGTGAATTTTCAAACTTGAAATGTACTGTGATTTTTGTGCTTCCCTACGTTGTTCAGCAAATTTTAATCAGCTGCTCAGTATTCACAATATCAAGGCATAGGCAACTTGTAAAATGAATTATTTGAAAGCAAATGTCCCTAAGGATCTGGAATTTCATAGAAGACTGTGCCAAAGGAAATAGATAAATATCTAGTTTATTCTCAATAACCACAAATGTCTGTCTGTCACTGTTTCTATTTATCTATTTAATCTGTAGATTTCATTACAAGCTTTATTGTGGTGAATCTTACAATTAATTCAACCCTTTTATCCCACTTTTACAGCTAACAAGGGGAGGAAGGAAGTGTGTCAATTATTTATTTATTTAGTACATTTCAGCCCCGCCCTTCCTGCAAGAAGCCCAGGACAGTATACATAATTCTCCCCTCCTCCATTTTATTCTTACAACAATCAATCTGTGAGGTAGTTTGTCTGAGAGAAAATAACAAGCCCAAGGCCATCCAGCAAGTTTCCATGGCAGAATGTGAATTCAGCCCTGGATTTCCCAGATTCTAGCCTTACGCTCTAGCTAGTACACTATGTTGTACCAGACACATTTAAAATATTGTAAAACAAAATAAAATATATTTTTGCTATACAAAATTTTTAGCTGCAAATTAATCACAAAACCCTCTTCAAAAGTACTGTGTTACACACCTTCCTAAAGGCAGAAAGGCCAATCATCCTCTTCGCTGCTGGGAGTAGTCTATTTCGTAGTGTCCAGGCCTGTGCAGTCAAATGTTTGTAACCCATCTGTAGCTGTTCTCAGCACCTTGGGCAATGGAACCACAAGACTCTATGGTAGAGTAGCTCTGTGCAGATGTAATTGCTGATTTCCTACCTATGATTAAGAGACACACTTAATCTTCTCTTTGCTCAATGAAATTCTTCCTTTCCTTTCCTTTCCTTTCCTTTCCTTTCCTTTCCTTTCCTTTCCTTTCCTTTCCTTTCCTTTCCTTTCCTTTCCTTTCCTTTCCTTTCCTTTCCTTTCCTTATGCTATAGTTTTAGATTGGCACAGGCACTCACCATTGCTGCTAGTAGGCAGAGCTAGCTCTCAGTCACAGCTGGAAACCATGGAAATGAGCGATGGGTATCCCCTTGGCTAGAGACATCAAAACAGCATTGTGGAAGAGCTTTCTTGAGCATGTTGTATTCTATATAGTGGGATAAGAAAGACTGTAATGCAGATAGATTCAGGTGGGTAGCCTGAAGAAGTGTATCTGAAGAAGTGTGCATACACATGGATAAAACTTTGTTGATCTTAAAGGTGCCACTGGACTCAAATGTTGTAATGCAGATAGACATTCTGGTGCTAAATCAGGTTTTAGGTACACATTACTCCAGAATTATCCAGGGAGTCCTGTGGGAAGGACTGATAGGTTCTGAGGGAAGTAAGCTGGAAAGATGAACAAATTGAGGAGTTTGAGCAAGAACTTTCTAGTAGCTATTTAGACTCCCCCACCCCCAAATGCCCAGAAATATAGTTACCAGATTTTGATAGATACTTATAAAGAACTGTCATTTCAAAAGGGCCTCTTAATAATTTTCCGTATCTTATTTTTCCTAGTTCTTCGGTCCTTGATGATGTTATAAAATTAGTGCCTGCTGTGGTTCATTCTAAGGAGCCACTAGCTACTACTGTCTCCGATGGACACGTTGCTGCTCTGGATTCTGTTGAGCTGACTGCATCAAGGTAGAGTAAGAAAATAGTTCTATTTCTTGTGTGAGCAAATGGTAACCTTGCACCACTGGTCACTGAATGGTTGAAACCAACCAGGTAGTAAGAGTGGTTGCATTTTGAGAGTTGCTTGGAAATCTGGTTGGTAACTTATTGTAGTATTATGGTGGTTTTGCTTGTTGGCATCCAGCCATAAAGCTACCATGGAATTTGCAGAATGTAAACTACACTTGTGTGGTAAATCAGCCTGGAGTGCAACCGAATTTTACAGTAGACTAACGATAAGTGCCTTTTATGCGTTCAAGGGCAGAATGGAAGTATATTGGTTCACTGTTGTTTAGAACTTTCATAGCTGAAAAGCAAGAATCCTTTTGTTTTAGTTTCTATTTCAATAATAAGAGTTGATTACTCTCTGCTTTTGGCTAAGTATGTTTTACAGTTGACTTGCCAAGTGGTTGACCTAAAATATTAAATTTCAGGGGGGTTTTGCTAGACAAAATTAGGTTGCCCCCCCCCCCATTTCTGATCCTGCATTTGGCTTGATTCATACCACTGATAAGAGATCAGGATGAATCTATGTTACCTAAAGTGTGTATTGTACAGAGGGTGTAATATATCTGTGTATTTGGAGGGAGGATGGTTATTCCTTTGTGAAGTTCATGTGGTGTTTGCTAATTTTGCAGATCTTTGAAAATAGATTAATTCTTGCACTATGGCAGGCTTCCTTCCTCTAGTAGTTGAATACACTTAAGAAATGAGGAATTAAAAGGCTCTAATTTGCAACTTCAACGCACACAAATCATTGATTTTGTTTGTTATTCCTCTTTCACCCACACCCACACTTTCCCAATGCTTTTCTCCCCAGGAGACACAGCACAAATTACACAGGAAAGAGGGCCTGGGGACATGGTTATTGCATCCACTTCACAATGCCACTGTGCCAAGTCAGTTCAGGAGGCGAGGGCACCTGCTTTCAACTTTTAAAAAAGGAACCTATAAACAGATCAAGATAGGATAGTTTCTGGCCTCACCCGGAAGGGTTGCAGCCTCATTTAGTCAGGAAGGCCCCCTGTGCTAATAGGAAGCCTTCCTCTACTCAACCAGTTTGCAGGGAAGGGGGAAGCAGGGACAGCCAGAGAGGAGTTAATTCCTTTGAACCAGAAATTTGCCTGAAAACAAATTCCCATTCTATGTCACAGATTAAAAGTCATTCTTAGGTAGGACAAAACACTGCTCCCACCTATTGGCCCACCTAGGCTACAGCCCACATGGATTTCCCTATGCCTCATCTGGTGTGACCCTACGGTGCAATGTCTACACAGGAAAGTCTATAGTATTCAGACATGTGTTTAGACTCGGTGATATCACCCTCTTCAGCTACTTGGACATCTGGAAAAGTGAAGACCTGGAAATGTTGGAATTAACTACATAGCTGGTTCCATACACATTAATAAAAGAGAGTAAAGAATAAGGGAAGGTGGTAAAGGAGTGTGTGTGTGTGTGGATAATGAGTGTGTGTAAAGGGAATAGTAGTAAGTTCTGCTGAACTTTTGAACCTGGGGAGCAAAGAGCAGCTTTGTTTTCTTACCATCTGCTCATGGATGAGTCTGTGGCTTTCAAGTGCATAGGGAAGCTTAAGTAGTTTCTTCATTCCTTGTAATGTAGCTTGTCTGTACTGTAGATGACTCTCTAGAGTATCAAGACTTGGCTGATTTCTGCATTGATGCAATGGAGCCAAGTATTAACTTGGGGAGGCAGTCTCAAGCTTCAGCTTTATGCTGAGAAAGGAAGGGGGTAAAGACAGGAAAAGGCAGCTGATTTCATCCTTTGAAGATAATTTCAATGTCTGTTTTGTGCAGTTTCCATAGAGCTCTCTGCATCACAATAAATCAAAACTGCAGCAGTGGCCACTCTTCTGATGAGTACATTTTTTACCACTGTACCATTATTGACACTGGTTCATGGATGGTGTTTTGTTTGTTTGTTTTATTTTAGTGTGGGCAACTTTGGTCAGATAAATTGCCTGTTCTGCAGATTAGCAGTGATCTATGGCAATAAGCAAGTCCTAAAGAGGCCTGGATGGATAAGGGGTAATTTCGGATGGGTCAGATCCCTACTTATCCTGATTTATAATTCCCCAAAATGGGTCTCTGAGCAATACTGCAGGCATTTCTAGATGGAAATTTAAAAGCACTCCTCCAGCAGATGGTGAGTGGAGGCAATTACGTAATGCTTTGCTTACCCACTAATACACATCTGTCAGAGTGACAAGTTTGAACAGAAAGGTAACAGAAGGGTTGGTGAGCTGAGAGCTATCTGTCTGAGTCTGGACTTGGAGTGTTCAATTCAAAAGCGCAAACCAACAATGGACTTGAAGGCAACTTTAAAGAGGATGGTTTTCCAACTGGATGGGCCACATGTGACTGTATGCGCAGTGAAGAAAAGAAGTGTGCATTCATCATATGTGGCAGTGTGCACATTGTTTCCTCTTCTGAAGCAAAATCAGAACAGGAGAGGTTTTTTGTGTGTGAAGTGGCCTCAATGAAGAGATCATAACTGAAATGACAAACAGGTCTTGTTCATTTGAGAGGACAAAGTGTAAAATTGTTTTGCGGGGCACAATTTTCACTCAACCACATTGTTGCTGTTTGGTCAACAGAACAGAGAAAAGTTATATTTTATGGAGCTATTTTATTTGTAGACCATAGTTTCATGTCATCTGTATGGATTGTTTATCTTATGCAACCACATTACGTCTCTTGTTGTCTGGGCTTTTATACAGCATTAATCAACAGCTGTTTTGTGACACTCTGTTTAAAATATCCTTGTTACACATCTGTATGTGTCTTATATTTCTGCCCCATGGTTGTGCCAGAATATGTTTTCATTCGTGTGTATTTTTATAACTCCCCAGTTGTCACAATGGAGCCTTCAACAAGTTTCCATATTTAGCAATATTAAAATGAACTTCAGAGCCCCTTTTTGTAATTTTTTGATGTTATGTTGTTTATCCTTAAGGGATTACGTCCAGTTCTGATAGATGATAGGAGAGTGGTGTGAGAGAAGTATTGTATGAGGATGGGGTCATTTTGTGCTAAATGTCTTCCAGATGGCAGAGTGTAATGGGAGCCCAGAGTTGTCTCTCCATCTGTCCAGTCAAGATATTATATCTATGTGTTTGTTTCTCAAGGGCCACTGTTGCTCTATCCCCCAGTGTGCTGCTAGTGCACTATTAATACACTGTTCATAACCGTAAGGAAGCTCTGTGTGATGTGGGCCATGGACGTCCTTTTAAGTGACCAAATTGTGACAGGAACTGATGTATTTAACCATCTGCTCCGACAAGGAGTAATATTTCAACATAATTTCTCAACTATCTTTCCCAATAAAATTTAAAACATGATTGTGTACTGTGAGAACATAAATTGTTCCTTGGGTAGAATTTTTACACTTCAGAGATAGAGAAATACCAGGCTCAAACCAGGGTGTGTGTGTGGGGGGGTGATGGTGGATAATTGTGTGATACATTCACAATTCCTGTTTTTCATATTATTTTGGAACAACTACTGTCGTTTGCATAATGAACACGAGAGTACTCCTGAACATGAATTTCCTGACCCAAAGAAACAGCTTCTGAATGTACAGAAATAAATTGTTTCCTTTTTTTTTTTTAGCCCCCCGAAGGGGATTTTTTAATTTGCATTTTCTATAAACTACAAACACTACAACTAAAAATTGGAAGGGGAAAGGGAAACTATGCCCTATCACTATAACTATGGGAAATGGGTAAAGGGTAAACTTATAAATGAACACTACTTGATGGGGGAAGGAAACTACCATTCTAAACTATATCATCTATTGGTTTGGAGAAAGGAAAGCTAATACATATCACGATCTCATTAGTTAAAAATATGGCTTATTAACCTGATATTACAAGTTTGGTATTCAATTTGATTCATTACAATATTGCTTTAAGAGTACGCATTTGATAGCTTAACACAAATTCTGCCTTTAAAAACTATTGTTCTTGTTCTAGAATCTTTTCTTCCTGCGTTTCTTCGTTTTCTTGGGTTTAGGGGCGGCTGCTCCTTTCTACGATTCTGATGGTTCTGATGATGTGGAAGTAGAGCTTTTTGAATCCTGTGAGTAGGATTCTTCTTCTTCTTCATCATCATCATCTTCTTCTTCCGTCTGTTTAGAGTTCTTTTCTTTCTTTTTCTTTTTTGAATTAAACATTTGTTCCATAAATTTTTCAGCTTTTGGAACAGAGTCAATTTTATTTTTTTTATCCAAGTAATTGAAACTCAGTCCTTTCGGGAATAACCATCTATATGGTATTCCCTTTTTTTGCAGAGTGAGAGTAAGCATCCTGTATAGTTTCCTCCGTTTTCTGACTTCAAAGGGAATGTCTTTTAGTATTTTTATCTCTTCATTCTTAATTTTTACAGTTTTTCCCATTGTAGATTTTAGCACCAGATCTAGCGGAGCGATCAAGAGTGTGGTCAAGATAACTGTGAGTTAAAATGAGCGAACTGTCTTCAGAAGAGAAAATCCCCCCCCCCCAAAAAGAAAAACTTTTTGAGGCATCGGAACTTTGGTGGGTTTTCACAAGGTCTTCCTGTTTGTAATCCATTAATGGGGCCAAAGCCTCTGCCAAAAGTTCTTTTAAGTCCTCATTTTTCTCTTCAGGGATCCCATGGAAAGATAGAACATATGTAGATCTTTCCAGCTGGAGCTGTATTAATTACGTTTTATCGGAGGATTTTTCCTTCTCTGCTTCATCTACTGTTTTGTTAATACTCTCCGTCTGTTTTTCCATTTTTTTCAACAT